AATACTTTTGTGCGCAGAATAATGGGACGCGGAATATGATTACCGAAAACTAAACAATATTTTACAAGATATTTTACATTTTGTGTCAAAAAATTATTAGCTTCAAACCTTTATAACTCAAAAAGTACTAAATGAAAAAAAGGGTTAATTACAATGTTGTGGAAAGCTCTCGAGATACGTTTGAAACCATAACGACTTTGCTATTGGGCATTTTCTCCAGAATGCATTCTAACTGAAAATATTAGGGGGATCCGATACTTTTCGACCCTGCATATTGCTCTTAATGCAGGTAGGTGGATTAAAGGTGCAGAGGTGTTTGCAATTATTATCGCCGATTTTCAGTTTGTAAGACTGTCCGAGATATGGAGGAACCTGACCGATGACTGCGAGTCCTGTATCATAGTGCTGATCACATTCGGCGCCTATATTAAATTATTCATCATAGTTCTCGAGAACGAAAACGTAAGGTTCCGTGTGAGCCGCAAGCTTTCGCTCGGCTGTTAAAAAAAAATTGGTGCACGCTGTAAACTTTGTTTCGTTCGTTGTTTCTCAGATAGGACGACTACTGTCGCTCATCGACTATCACTGGCGCGTTTTCACGCATTCACTGGAGGTGCAAGTTATGCACGAGTACGCTATCGCGGGAAGGAAAATGACGATAAGTTACGCCGGTAATAATGAGATAAACCACTCGCGTGTCGTTTGGTTTTTAATTAACATCGTCACGCTTAACGTATCGCACTCACTTTTCGCGCGTGTCATCGTGAATTGCACAAATCATTTGATCTGAACTAAATGACGCGATTTGATCGTCTCTTCGTTCACGCATTTTTACATCATAAGAATAATGCGAGTTGCAGTGATGATTTATTCGTTGATGAGCCTTTACATGCTGATGCCAGTAACGCCGCAAATATTGGATGTCCTCGTGCCGCTCAATAAATCGCGCCCTTACAAATATTTGTTCGATGTCGACTACAGCTTCGACAGAGAGCTGTATTACTATTCTGTATTGCTCCACTCGTATTGTACAATTGTGTTAGCTGTAACTGTCATGATAGTAACAGATACGAGCTATGTGTCGCTCGCGCAACACGCATGCAGTCTCTTCGCCGCCGTCGGGTATCGTATCCACACCAGTCGTTTTCCAAGAAACTCAATTAATGCGAAAAGAAACCCTTCTCTTTCTCTCTTAAATATATGCATACCGTAGATAAAAGTGCAATCGTGTGCTTTAAAGGTGCCGATTAGAAAATCTGACGTCGATGGTAAGTTCAAAGAAAAATAAGTGCAAGTCGACGAATTACGACGACATGATCTATCAAGAATTGATACTTCTCGTCCAAAAACATCAGCTGTGTCTTGAGTGAGTTTTGAATCGCAACGCAAATGCTGCAAGACGACTTCGCATTCAATATATTGTTTCGTATATCTTTCAGGTATGTTGATATGTTGGAGTCCTTGTTCCATCTGTACTCGTTTTCGATGCTCTTTCTTCATCTTATTGTCATGAGTCTCCTTGGAGTTCAGGTAAGCCTATTAATTTAGCAGAAACTCCGCTATCTCATATTAGGAACCTCATAATAGGGGACTTTCCTCTACTTTACAGAAATCACCTCGTAATTTTCGCTCAATCTAGATTTTTACTTATTTGCAGATAGTTGCTTTGATGAATCGTAAAATAGAGATGATCAGATACGTGTCGATGGTAATCGGTGGTTTCGTGCATCTTCTCGTTTTGAGTTACCCCGGTCAAGAAATAATGGATCACAGCACAGATATATTCCACAAGGCGTAAATACGTACCAAAGTTATTCGCGCAATAGCAAAATAGTGAGAAAATCGTGATAGAATGTAGATAGATTTTTCGAAAAAAAAAAGATACACGGAACTCAGTGAATAGTCACCGATTTCAGTGACAATCCACTGATTGACTTTTAGACAGAAAGAAAAATGTAGCTGCCGTAGCTAAAGACTGCAACTAAACAGTTGTAAAATATGGACAACTAATATTTAGTTAAATATTTCGCTACTGTGCCTATTGTATTAGGTGCGACGGCAAACCGTTTGCTGTGGTTTAGAAATTTGTAGTTACGGCAGCAACGTATTTTTAGCAAACCATGATTTGCTACGGTAGCGAGAATTTTCTTTTCAGCGCACATATAAAATTTCGTCCTTTCTGATTCGTTCTCAGAGATACGCAGCTTTGAAAGAATTTTATTTTTATTGTCTTTTTGTTCGTTTCTAATTTTAGTTATTCCAGTAGGTATTCGACAGTAATTGATCGACCGTTTATGGAGATAAAAAGTTATAATACTGGATTATCCCTTTTAGATACAACATGCTATGGTACAAAAGGTCGCGGAGAACAACGCAACTATTGAGCATATTACTTTACAGGGGTCTCGTGCCTTGTACGTTAACGGCCGGCAAAATGTACGTGCTATCGTTTCAGAATTATGCTTCGGTAAGAATAGCTCCTTTTAATTTGTACAACACGCACAATACTGCGGAAGTGCGTTACTATTTCAAATTTTAAGGTGATGCAGGGAACTTTGTCTTATTTCACCGCCCTTACGTCGTTCACGTAATTTGTTAAAAGAAAAGAAGAGCGATTACGTTGAAATTTCGTATAAAATTATCGATTTGAGTGATTCCTTATTAGTAAAAGTATGGTAAATTCTATTACGTAGTAATAGAATCGATTTCGAAATGTGTTGTAGATTCATCTTTCTGTTTTAATAAAAATTCAAAGATTGTTGTTGCTGTTATAATCGTCATCATTTTTTTTTTCACAAAAATCCGATCCGTTAAACGAATTTCATTGTTAAAAATTGTTTGTATGGCTGTAACTTGTGCGAACTTTTGCGTGTGTTGCCTGATAATTGTCCCGTCTCTGACTCTGTAGCTCGATGTGGTTTTAACGCAAAAATATCGAGAATTTTTTTATATCCAAGCTTTTCCCAAGTCTTTTCTATGAACTTAGTTACAGCTGGAGATAACGGTTAATCACAACGAAAAAAAGAAAAACATATATTGAGAAAATCTACTTTTATCTCTGTAGTTCGAAAGCGCTGAGGAAACGATTTTAAACCTGAAAAAAATTAATAAGTTTCTGGTAGAAGATCATTATGCAACGGGAAGGCAATATCCAGTGAACGGGCATTGAGTATGGTGTTCATTTAGCATTATTGTTATACTGATTACCAATTTAATTATGTATCATTCCAGCTTCAGCTTGAAACTGTGTTTCAAGACCGACGTTACTCGGTATACTGGTCGCAGAACTCAAAAATATATACGCTAATATATTATCAAGCACAAAAATCCTGAACTATAAAACGTAGACTTTTATTCGGGGATAAAGTTTTGTACAGTGAATTTTTTTCGCAAACTGATTTTGAAGTTTTTGGAAATTCCACGGTCTCAACCGGAAAGTAATTAATTGGGTAGGAAGTAATCATTATTTAAAAAATTAACAAAATATCTGTTATATAAATGTATAATTTATGTCGAACTTTTGTGACTGCAATGACTGACGGAATGTTTTTATTTTGTAAGAAAAGTACCACAGTGATTACCAGAAACGATGGCTTGAAAGTTTTGGAAATGATATTTCAAAGGCTCAAGTTAATATTTGATTTAACAAGGTTTAAGTTAGTTCTATATGTATGCTATTTTTTCTAATAAAAAATATTGTTGCAGGAAAAGTGCTTAGAGAAAGTGAAGAAGCGTCCTTAACGCAAACTGAGGGAACGAGGTTTTCGCTGTCAAAGATCTCTCAGAGCGGACTGGATTTTGATAATAGGACGAATGTGATATTAATGAAGTAAGTCTCTAGATATTTAATGTTGACTCTTTTATTCCTACTCCAATTATAAAATGTATACAATCAGGAAGGAATTATTCAGAATTTATCAATTCTCAATTTGGTTTATCAGATTAATATCTATTGCAATTTCTCACATCATAATAAATAATTTCCCCATTGGAATATATAATACAGCCGTCAACCAAATATCTTTTCAATACTACATTCCTAAAGTAAATTTAGTACGCGACTCTCGATATAGTATGTTCCAAATATTTTTTAATGAACCATTTTGGTGTAAAAGTAACATCTTTATAATTTCAATCAATAATTAATACTGTATACAGGTGGTAAAATAAAATGTCTAGATAAAAAATATGTAAATAAAATACGAATTAATAGTTTATTGCACACTTATTGGATAGCGAATAATGTTGAATTAAATTTAATTAAATGTAATCATTCAACTGTAGCGTGTACAATTCACACCCACGCGCTATATCGAGCATCGAGTAAAAGTATTAAATAATCCTGCATTATTATCGCTCAAACACATTTTTAAACATAATTTTGGTTTAAAATTGTTACGCAGAAATAAATGCAGAATGATATTCGTCAACTCTATGTACCCCCGATAATGAAATATACATTTAGAAAAAGGATTTAGGAAAAGGACAGATTTTAAATTGGAGCATTTCACTGCATCAGCATGAATCCCAAACGTTTGGTGAATCAAGAACTTGCTGTCAACGCTGTGGCGCTGCTTTTGGCTTTGGCATTTTGGCTAGTATAGCTGGCATCTCGTTCTTTTCGTCATACTTTTTCCACAATTCATACAAATTTATTATATACCGCGCTATCTCTTGAATTTTTTCCATATCTGCGTTTAATTCCGCAAACCATGATTTTAGGTCTTTTTGCAGTATCACGCAAGCTATTTGCAGACAGCCTGTAAAGGAAGACGTGTTGCCATTAAGTTTCCCCTGTGATGTCGAAGCGTTGGAGAAAACGGTTATTTGTATCTTACCGATAGCTATTTGATAAGGTGGATATAGCAAGCACACGTCCGTTCTCAGACTATCATTAATAATACGCCATGCTAGCATGAGCAACTGATCATCTGGTCCCACATCCTGAATTAACGTTAACAAGGGACGGTACGGTTGATACACTATCAAACAACAGTCCAGGTGTTCCAAGAGATAAAACTCGCACTCCAAGATATGATTTGTTCGGTATGGAAATTCCTGCGAATACGCGTAGCTAAATTTGTTCTTAACTAAAAGAAAAGAAAGGCGACATTAATCAAACGACCATGTAGACGTCGATCCCCAGCGTACTGTGAACAGTGGACCCAATATATCATGGAACTTACTTACATTTCCCATTGTCGATATCAGTCTACTATTAGAGATTACTCCAAACTCTTCTACTTTCGACGCCAAAAAGACTGTAGTAGGAGCTAATAATAGAGGGTCTATGCACTTTAAGCTATTGCGGGCATAAAATCTTTTAAAATAGACTGTCGCAGTAGCTACCACTTGTTGCCTCAATTTTAACTGTTCACCTATCATCTGTATCACTAGTGACAGGATTTACATATGGATGTAATTACAGATATTACAACACATGTAGCAATATGCGTGGTACGTGGTAATTGTGTGACAAGATGTGGCACAGGTTTTTTGTATTTCTAAACGATCAACTACAGCTCGGTAAACGTCAAATCCCTGCTTCAATGAATTTGGCAATTGACGTGAAATATGCGTAAGCACATTTAACTACTCGATATATATATTTTTGTTATAGCAGAAAAGCAAGGTAGATTTTTGCCGGATAAAATCCCTATACATTTCAATGTGTCTTTAAATTCATACTAGATGTATATTCGAATATTGTGCCATAATTTACAGCAATTAACAGTCTGTCCAAATATGTCAATCAAATGACGGACACTCGAGAATGTGCTGATGGAAAGATACGATACAAAGGCCTGTTCTAAATTCTCTTTTATCGATGAAAGAGGATTCTGGGGGTGAATTGTGTATCTTACGCTATGGTGAAAGTGCTAAAAGCGAGTAGCTTTATCTCTTTATAATTCTCGCCTTAGAAAGACACAGAGCCGTTCACTTTTAGCATTTTCACTGTATCGTAAGATACAGAATTGACCCCCGGAATACGGGCCCAAGTGTCCCATCAATTAACAGATATGGAAGGAGCTTGTTAATCTCCGTCAGTCGCGAAAGAATCGGTTCAACTGCAAAGAAGACCTCGTTGCAACTTACTGCTGGAAAAGAAAATGAATATTTTTTGATATTCCTCTTCTGTTAATACCGACAGATCGTGCTGGCGTTCCCTGATCAAGTCCTGTTTGTCGAGTAACCACTGTTGGCTATTGGAAACAAAGAGATCACGTAAGAATCCCGCTTGTTGAATACGATGCAATACGATTTCCTAACTTACTGATGCGAGCTCTGCCAAAAGTTCCCGGCCATTCTATAATCAACTTGTCTGCCCGTAAACCGTTTATTCCCGTTGGATGGTGCCAGGTGTTAAAATCCTGTTAATTGACGCTCCGAATGCACGCGGCAACAGTCTTCTCACACTTCACAACGAGCCCACTCCGTATTTTTGCGAAATGCAGACAAACCGACGTTTCGTGCGGCCTTTCTGTATGAATTGCCGACAACAAAATTTCTCCAATACTCACACGTATACGCATTCATGCAAATGCGTGTCTGTGCACGTTCTTCCGTAATTCCCCCAGAAAAGGAGGGTGATCTGGCGGTCACAAGCCCCTTTCGTGTTATGAGGGTCTATATCAAAAGTGCCCAACTTCGGAGCATTCCGTTTTTGACGTTGAAATCAACCACACAGCTGCTTGGAATTTTTCCGCTGGATAAACCAATCGAAGAGTTAGGTTATGAACTGACCAATCTGCCACTCCACGGCGACCGGTGCATGGAGTTTTTCCATTAGATCGGCCAATCAGAAATGTTTATATTAAGGGTTGGTTTACCTGGTAAACTAATAGCAGAGAAAAACCTGTGACAGCGGCCACGCCGGTGTTTTGTTACCGTTTCGGTAGGCTGTTTCCAGCGCCTTACGTCCACTTTCGTTTTTGGAACTACTCCGCTACGCCCATTTTCAAGCACTGTCGATAAAGTCTCCACTTGGTTCGTGTCCGTGCTACGCATTTTGACATCCAATTTATAAAGTTTACATTGTCCACGTGAAAAAAGTGGATGTAAACGTCATGTAAGCAATTCGTATGGACGTAATTTTGAAATTTACGGCATAATTCTGGAAAATGGCCGAGTTCCACCTCGCACCGCGACCACTGCTTTCGAGCAGGTTTTTATTTTGTTTCTCGGTATTTATTGGTCGTGGAAGTTTTAATATATTTCCCTTGTATTTTTCGCTGGAAATACCTTCGGAATTTTTGTTTCACATTGTGGCGCCAAAGTTAAATTATAATCGGAATCTTACCAATAACAAGGAGAGTAAGATCAATATATTATAGTTTCCATAATAATATTTAAATACACAGATATGTTAGCCGGATCATGATAATATCTGTGTACCGAAAGCCAATAATAATACCAATAATAATACCAATAACAATATCAATAATATTATGTAATATTTATTTATATTATTGATAGTATTTCATTAAATATGTACCTAATATGTATATGTATATGATTATATGGCAAAAGAGATGCGTTTAGACACTATTTTGTTCTACATTATTTTGCAATAACGGGGTTCTTCGTTATCCGAAATTAATAGAAACGATGTCCGCGTATAAAAAAAGTGATATTTAGAAATTAAATTTAAAGAGAGCATCTCTCGCGTTGTGTATTTTGAGCCACAATAATCGCGCTTTCTTCCCACTGCTTGACCTCTTTGCCACGTATTTTTCTTCTCCATTTAGAAGGCAGACTCCTGAACGACCTTCTCTTTCGGTGCGAACTTTTTATCTCGCTCTTATTTTGATTTATCTTTTATTTGATTTATCTGATTGTGAGACTCCCGACCTCTTCAGCCTCTTACGGATCGACACGTGCCGGTATGATCCGATCCATTAGTACCGTTAGACGGGGTAGCGAACTATATGGTTGTAGATATATAAAACAACACATTCGGACTGAAAAGTTCGTAAGTTAAAAGTACATTATTTATCGGTGAGGATTTCGCGACGGCACGTGTCCTCTTGTCTCACACAAACTTTCGTAGACGCTGTAATTTATTTGGATTATACATCGCGCGGTTTTTACGTCGTTCGACTTTCCTGTTGCGCTTATCTTGTACTTATCGGCGTGACACACAGGTCGCATAAAAAAATCATACGGTATCGCGAGAAAAAAAAACGGAGAAGGAATATAATATTCTTAATGCAATACGAGAGTTCGGTTAGAAGGCAGGGCGGTGGGGGAAGATACATAGACCAGTATCGTGTGTGTTACAGCAGCGATTGACGTGACGTCTCGCAAAGTATATAATTTCTGTAACGTCACTTCTTCTGTCTTTCTTTTTTTCGCTCCGGACAGTAGGAGGAATAAGAAATAGTCCCCCCCCCCCCCCCGCGGGACACTCGGCACGCGCATTTCCCGACAACCCATGATTATTACAGGCTGCGTTATTACGCAACGCCGTAACACATGTTATTAGCGGATACGCGCAGTATAATACTTTAGACATAGGGGACCGTCCGGAAGATACCCCGGATCTTGAGGGAGAACCGACATCCGCGGGACAGAACCGTGCCGGGGAGATGCAGTCGGCTGTGAAACGCTATTACAATATTAACAAGATCCTCATGTCGAAACTCGGCGGCTGGCCGACGCAGAGCAGATTTATGAAGATATTGTTGCCGACCGTAATAACATCATTTATTTTCAGCGTCGGCTTTCTCGAGGTAAATTCTCACCGCCTTTTGCGCCGGGTGTCCGTGTAAAAACCGTTGCGCGAATAAAATCGGCGGGGGCGCGAGAGAGAGAGAGAGAGAGAGAGAGAGAGAGAGAGAGAGAGAGAGAGAGAGAGAGAGAGAGAGAGAGAGAGAGAGAGAGAGAGAATCCCCACGTGGTCAGCATACGTATGGCTTATTTTAACCGTGATGGGACGAGCAAGTAGCAATTAATTTCACAAAGTTGCCTTCGAGTTTTTTTTCAAGATAATAAAATATCTTAATATTCATACTTTGCGGAAAGATAAATTTAAATGTACATATATATATATATGAGTGTTTTTGCGCGTCGTTTAAACATTTAAAGTAATAATCATATGACTCACGCGGTTAACAAAATTATGCGTCTGATCTAATCGTGTCGCAAGTGATTTCGAGTCATTATCATTATTCAACATGTCGCACGTGTAAATATTTAAACGAAAATTTCGAAGCCACCTTAAACGGATCCTTTTTTTAATGTTTTAAACAAAGAAACATTTGTAAATCTTCCTGACGTTACTGCATCGAGTAAGCAATTAATTAATCCCGTTTGTGACGTTGTACGAGAGTGTGACATCTAGAGCGCTCTAGATGTCATCTTTTTCGGCCAATTTTGAAACGATTTCTCTTCCTTAACAAAAATATCACAAATAATTAGACCTGAAACGCTAAAGTTCAAAATAAAACTTTGACTGAGCTTAATTTTGAGAAAATCTCTCGAGTCTAATAGTCAAAGAACGGTATTCGTAGTCAAATCTTATACAAGAAAGTCCTTTATTATGAAATAAGATTCTAATATGAGATAGTAGGTTTTCAACGTCCGAATTCAATCACAAATCTTTTTTCGCAACGATTACACGGTCTAACAATCAATTTTCCTACTAAATAGACTTCACTCCAAGGGCAAAAAATTCATGGTGGAAGCAACAGATGATGTCTATTAATTTAACAGAAACCTCGCTATTTCATATTAGAATAGTATCCTATAATAGGAGACTTTCCTCTATTCAAGACCATCTTAAGATCATCTTTAGATACTCCGTAGCCAATTAAATGTTCCGACCAGTATCTTTAGATAAATTCAAGTCGGATTCAAGATAAATTAAATTCAAGACCGCGGTCTTGAATATAAGATCTGACTGTGAATACCGGGTCTAAAACACAAAAACTGATATTCATATTTTTGTTAAGAAAAAAAAGGTTGATTTGAAAACTGACCGAAATACAAGGAAAGTGCGGTCTGGAACAGCTTACACATATTTATCTACTATTTACGAATGTTATCGAAGACAGAAGATCGTTTTGTCACGTCGATAATTATTCTCGTCGCGATTCATGCACGTTCGGTTATTTACATTGCAGGTAGGTGGAACGTTAGAGATGCGCAGTGGTGTCCGCAATTATTACCGCCGATTTTCAGTTTGTAAGACTCTCTGAAACGTGGAAAAGCATTACCGAGGACTGCGAATGTTTCATCACGGTGCTGATTACAATCGGCGGTTACATCAAATTATACATCATAGTTCTCAATAACAAAAGCGTAAGAATTTCGCCCCGGCTCCCTAGCGGGAAAAAATTTCCATAAATAACTACAAAAAATTGACTTGAAATAGAAATTTGTAGAAATTTTTATATCTTCGTTGAAACATAAACTTTTTTGTAAAAATATTTACGAAATAGTGCCACAAATTACAATGTTCTCAAATCAAGAAATGATTGCAAGTAGTATTTCATGAAAATGTACAATTTTGTAAAAATTGGTACAAAATTCTTTACTAGTTTTAAAAATTTGAGAAACAACAAAATCTTCGAGAATTAAAACATCTGCTTACTCGTAGAATATTACAAAAATTAAAAAATACGTTTCAATTCTAGCATTTTCATGTTGATTTTTATAACACTTATGAAATTTACGTAGAATTTCTTGGATTCTGGCAGTATATATTTTTTTTGGTAGAATTTTGTAAAATTATTTCCGGCAGGGCTGCTTGAAAGAAACTCGCAAGACTCCTCGACGAGAAATGACTCGCGTCGATCGACGCCGATCGGCGTAGAAACGATGCCGAATTGATGTGAAAAAAAAATCGTCAAATCGACATCGATCCGACATCGATCGACGAATTATTTCTCACTGGGCCGTATCCTCCGTTTCGCTTATTGTTTCTCAGATAGGACGACTGCTGTCGCTCATCGACTATCACTGGCGCGTTTTCACGCATACGCTGGAGGTGCAAATTATGCACGAGTACGCTATCGTAGGAAGAAAAATGGCGATAAGTTACGCCGGTAATTATGAGATAAATCACTCGCGTACCGTTAGGTGTTCAACGTCGACTCGTCACGCCTGACACATCGCGCTCACTTTTACGCACGTCATCGTGAATTGCACATCTAAATAACGCGGCTTCGTTCATTTGTCGGTGCGCTTATTCTTTTTTTTACATTGTAATAATAATGCGAGTTGCAGTGATGATTTATTCATTGATGAGCCTTTACATGCTGATCCCAGTAACGCCGCAATTATTGGATGTCCTTATGCCTCTCAATAAATCGCGCCCGTACAAATACCTGTTCGATATCGACTACAGCTTCGACAGAGAGGTGTATTACTATCCTGTGTTACTCCACTCGTACTTGACGACTGTGGTGACTATGAGCGTCATGGTAATAACCGATACGAGCTACATGTCGCTCGTGCAACACGCGTGCAGCCTCTTCGCCGCTATCGGGTATCGTACCTGTACCACTCGTGTTTGTTTGTTTTTTCGTTTTTTTTTTGGAGAAACTTTAATTGAAGGAACACGTTTTCCTCGCCCTCTCTTAAATACCCGCCGTGCCAGCGATAAACTTCTGATCGCGTTCCAAAGGTGCCGATTGGAAAATCTGACCTCGAAGGTGAGTCCAAAGAAAAGTAGCCGTCCCGTTGAGGATGCAAATGTAATTTGTAAAAAGCACAAATCGCGAGATGACGAGATCTATCGCGAACTGGTGCTCCTCTTGCGGAAGCACCAGCTGAGCCTTCAGTGAGTTCTGAATTTTTACCGCGTATTTTATTATACACCGCAAAGCGTTTCGCGCTCGAAACTCATCCGCTTATGTGTCTTTCAGATACGTCCGTCTGTTGGATTCCCTGTTCGAACTGTATGCGTTTTTGTTGCTGTTTATTACTATCATCGTTACGAGCCTCCTCGGAATTCAAGTGAGCGCTCGATGGCATTAGCACGGTATCGCCGAATAGAAATCGCATCTCGCGTTTACCTTCAATCGATCTACAATTTTTCAATTACATTAACTTGGCATTCGGAATTTACATGCCTGGATGATCGAATTGGTGAAGACGTCCGTCACGGATTGTACGGTTTAACGAGTTTCGAGACTCGAGGCCTGGGCACATTTTTCGCAATAAATTCTTTAGTGATTCGAAAGGGATGCTTATCAGCCTCACAAGTTAAATCGATTTAGGGGTGCGTTCGGGGAGATCGCTATCAGCGCTATTTAATGCTGAAAACGTCATTTTATCCTTGCTCGCTCATTATGTGTCAAAGAAAGATAGATGACATTTTCAGCGTCAATAGCGCGATTAGATATGTGGATTTATTGTTCCAGCAAAAGAATTGTGTACCAAGAGCGACGAATAATCGGCGCGCAGTTTGTTGAATGGAAAAAGTATACACACAATTCACGCAGAAATATTATTATTAAGCTACCACGGTCCAGCCCGGCCGAACGTCGTCTCTTAATTGCAATCTAGAATTTAATTGCAGATAATTTCTTGCAGATAATTGCCTTAATGAATCGTAAAGAAGAGATGATCAGATATGTATCGATGTGCATAGGTGCTTTCATACATCTCTTCGTTTTGAGTTATCCCGGCCAGAGGATAATGGATCATAGCTCAGACGTATTCCACAAAGCGTAAATATGTCGCACCAGTTGTTTGCGCGATGTGGGAGAACGGAAAAGAGCGTAGCAAAGTGCAGATAGATTTTTCAGAAAAGACTGCCCGACTGCAGTTCTTGCTTTCTCGAGAACGCAGAAGAGAACGAACGTGCTGCATCCCAGATAGCACACGTGGTTCTACGAATATTCTTCTGGAGTGCAAATCTCCTTCATTTCAGAATATTCCAATCGAATATTCTATAAAAATATATAGACCATTACAAAATTAGAAATCGCTACATTCACAACAAAGAAGAACGTTTTTAGAATATTCGTCGAGGATGTCTTTGGAATATACGTTCAGAATAATTTTTTAATATTCATCGAGTTTATGTATTGCACATTGTTTATTGGGCAATACCGCGCTTATCTTATGCAAAAGGCAGTGAAACCAGTGATCATACCATACATAACCGACACGCTATATTCGATAATTATTCTATTCACATTCGAAAAAGATTCGTAGTAGTGCCAGTCGAATATTCCATCAACATAAGATAAATCTTTAAGAATGGCCTATGGAATATTCCAAATATTCTTGAAGAATATTCTTAAAATGTTCATAGGAGTGTCTCGTGCTATCTGGGATTTATTTAACATTTTGTAGCCTTCTTCAGGTGTCTTGAGAATTTTTTTTTCTTAGACCTTTTGCTTTTTCTAAATTTTGAATATTCCAATGGATATACGAACGGAATCGACTGATCGTCGTAAAGATAAAAGTTACGCGATTATTTTTAGGTACAACATGCTGTGGTACAAAACGTCGCGAAAAACGACACGGCTGTTGAGCATATTACTTTACAGGTGTCTCGTGCCTTGTACGTTAACGGCCGGTAAAATATACGTGCTATCGATGGCGAATTACGCTTCGGTGAGAATGACGAGCCTTCCGATTCAGCATTGACAGCACTGCGGAAATACATAATAGTTTTAAATTTTAAGATGATGCAGGCGTCCGTGTCTTATTTCACCGCCCTTTCATCGTTCAGGTAATTTGCGGTGAAGAGAAACGAAGAGAGATAAACGATAAAATTAGCAATTTGAGTGAGTTTCCATCATGGATACATAAAATTCTAATTGCAAGTGTAATTTTAATTCCATTGCGTGACACTGATACAATTGGCAAGCTACATGCGATGCCTCCGAAACGTATTGTAGATTTATTTTTCTGTTAGTGCCTTAATAAAAATTCAACGACTTATTGTTATAATTGTTACCATTTGCTTTACAAAAATCTAATCTGTTAACTGATGAAAAATCTAAATGTTAAACTGAACCATGTTTATCGGTAAAAACTTATTCGCATGGATGTAACTTTTAAGAATATTTGCGTGTATTCCCCATAGCAATTCCCCCGTCTTTGGCTTCGACATGCTTGACGCAAGTATTTCAGGAAACTTCCCTTACGGAAGAAACAATGAGTGTTAACACTCAAAACTTGAGTGTTTTTTCCGTAAGGATTTAACGTTCAAGCTATTCTAAGTGATGTTTATGAATTTAACATGGCAGAAATGATGATAAGAAAAGGTTAAATTGAATAATAAACCGGAGATGTATCTATGAATTAACAACGGTTAGTAATAAAAAGACGAAAATAGGACGAAATAATTAAGATGACAAGATTTCGAAAGAGGATCATTACGCAAAAGTCGAACAATATTTGGCAAACGAGCAAGTACAAAAATATATTGTACACACAATACTGTATTATTACAAAAAAAATTAATCAATAAGATAACTGCAGGTGATTACGTAACAAATGATTATGTTTACGTAAAAACACTTAATGCCACTGATAAAAAGAGCGAATATGTATGACAAAAAGCGCTCAAGGCTCGCTGTTACTGACGCACAATCAAGTACACAAAAACTGTTGACACAGAGGTAAAATCAAAAAATACATTAACTATTCAATTATATAAATTCGTGACTGTGGATGAAAATGTCAGGAATGTTGACTTGATGCGAACATCCACTCGTAGACTGTCAGCGAAAGATAGGACTGTAATTGACGTCATATTTAATCCGATCTCGGTTACCTTCTCATAGAAATGTCTCTTCTTCGAGAGGAGATCACGAGGTGTGTGTTGTAATTGAGATCTGGCGAAAAGAATAACGATGTCGATTCAACATGTCGTTTCAACGAGTCATTCGATCGACGAGTCATTTCTCGCTGGGAATAAGGATGCGGAGTTTTAGATCGGGGTGACTTAAAGCTAAATCCTGATTGGCTCTCGCAAGCAATCCAGTAGGCAAAATAGTAATCGTGTGCCATTGGCTTAACTCAAGTCCGAAACTTTCTGATATAGCTATTTGCTGTTTTTCTCTTTCGACTTTAGGCGTTCATTTCGACGGCCACAGGCTCCGAATTCCCCGAGAAAAACCTCCAGCCGGTGCGACTCGCCCCGAGCAGAGTTTTCGATGAGGTGATCAAGGCTAAATCCTGATTGGCTCTCGCAAACAATCCAGCAGGTAAAATAGTATCGTACGCCGCTGACTTTAAGCCAACGGCACGCTATTACTATTTTTCCTACTAGAGCGCTTACGAGAGCCAATCAGGATGCAGAGTTTTCGATCAGGTGACTTAAGGCTAAATCCTGATTGGCTCTCGCAAGCAATCCAGCTAGCAAAATAGTATCGTGTGCCGCTGTCTTTAAGCCAACGGCACGCGATTAACTATTTTTCCTACTGGATTGTTTGCGAGAGCCAATCAGGATGCAGAGTTTTCGATCAGGTGACTTAAGGCTAAATCCTGATTGGCTCTCGCAAGCAATCCAGTAGGGAAAAATAGTATCGTGTACCGCTGGCTTTGCTCGGATCATGTCGAGAAAGTAAGTTACCCGCGCTTATCTCGGTACGGTCGAATTTCGTATAGTAACAAATCTTTAAATAACTCTGATAGAACTGTACGAAGTGTCATCGAAACTGAGAATATCGTGTACTCTATCACGCCCGCCGATAACTCTTGTTTGAAACTGCGAATTGTGCGTATCACGCGTATGTTACGACAAGCGCGTATACGCTGTAAAAAAAAGGGAAGAAAAAAACAGGTGCTCGCGGATCCTCTCTCCGTGTATCCCCATATATTTTCCATTGTACTTTAATAGCATACGAATTGTACGTTTTGCACCGTGAACCCTTTGCGCCCTTGAGGGGTGTTCTAAAAAAAAAATTCCACGACAAAAAACTCAGAGGATATCCCTAAGAGATAATATCCGTTTACGTTACGGTACTTACGTATCGATTTTTACTAAAACGAAAGCGATAAACTTTTTATTTACGAAATGAAATCGTCCCTCTCTATATTTTCTCGTAAAATTCTTTATTTTTTTCCACAGATGCGTCGAGGCACGTGGGATCGACGCGTACCGTAGACGCGAATTTTTATGCTTTACCCGGGAATCGGACTTTCAAGGGCAGCTATCTGTCTCTCGAGGAAGTAGAAAAAGTCCTTCCGCTTTAACGCATTTCTTGAGGAAAGTCCCCTAATACGAGATAGCGGGGTTGCTGTCAATTTAACGAGCATTATCTATTGGCTCCAGCATATGAATTCATTGCTCTTCAAGTGAAATCTGTTTGGCGGAAAATTCATCGTTAGATCGTGTAGTCGTCGCGAAAAAGGGTTTGTGATCGAATTTGGACGTTGACAACCCGCTATTTCACTTTAGAAGCCTATCTCATAATAGGGGGACTTTTCTGTGTCTTTTTCGCACGGCGCGCTTTGTTCGGAGTTCAGACCGGGGCTGATTTAATCGCGGAGCCGAGGTCGTCCCGCCGCGGCAACATTATCGCGAAATGTCTCAACGACCGACACGGCAGCGACGGCGACGGCGGTGGCGGCGGCGGCGGCGGCGGCGGCGGCGGCGGCAGCGGAGGCGGCGGTGGTGGCGGTGGTGACGGAAGCGGAGGCGGAGGCAGGGGTGGCGGTGGCCGCCATGGTGGGGACGCACGTGTCGTCCCTTTTGTCATTGTGATATAATACATCCGAGTCAATTCGAGCCTTCGCCTCGTGTACTTCACCGATATAGCGCGCGCGCGTGCGTGACCAACGTGGTGTGCCCTCGACACCGCGGGCCGGAGTAACATGGCGACTGGCCGGCGTGGTTTAGTCGATTTGCGACCATCGGCGCGTGTAGATCAATGAAAGAGGGACGACGACGTTGAGTGACAGCTCCTCTCCTGCCGCCCCGTAAGTACCGCAGTACGTGTGCGCGCGTGTGCACGCGTACTTTTTTTAATACATTTTATATTTCTATTTCTTTTCTTTTTTTCTTACTTTCATTTATACTTGTTAGATTCTGTGTACGTGTCGCCTCGCACAAAAGAATTGAAACGATCCTCGGTCTCCATCGAGCGTGTCGCTTCACGCCTGAATTCGCGTGTCCCTCGTTACACGTGTCTCTCCTTTTTTCCCCTCTCTCTCTCTCGCTCTCTTTTTCTTTATCTCCGTATACCGCAACCGGAAATTGCACGCGCCTCCGTGAGCCGGTTTCGTATATTCGAAAGGATCGAACACGGCGACGGGATCACGGCGCAGGTCGAGTTTCGCGACAGGGGCTCGCGTTGTTCCGCCACCCCGCGTTTCGCTCGTGAATGACGCAAATGCAACAGGAGAGCTTTCGTGTTTCCCGGCCAGCGTGAATTCTCGGAATTCGCGACGCGGGCTCCGAAAAATATAATCTCGATCCCGTCTTTCAACGGGAAACTGTTGACTTTTTCGCCCCCCTCTTGTTTATCGTCCGATCCGTTGAGTCGCGATAGAAAATTTCGAGATCGTACAAAATCACGCACAACAACGCGTATAATTAAAATATCCTTACCGTACATTTAACATTATTCGTTACCCTAAAAATACATATTTGACTGCGTTGCAACGATAATGCATCGTGCTGTCGTCAACAGGCTCGTTCGTAGATTATTTCTACGAATAGGGGATTTTCAAGTATTCAATTTTCTTCCGCGGAATATCGTGCGCAAAATTAAGTGTCGGATTAACTCTTACATACTCAAGTTAACTCGTTTATTGTTTTGTATATACGCAACAATCTATAAACTTCTTGGGCCGATTTCGTCAAACGTCGCCTAACGTTGATCTTATTGTTAGTTTAATTGCAGCTCTAGCAGCACAATATTGGTAAATATGTAAAATTCCCAACATTGACCCAATATTGTAAGATGGACGCCTTCTCTTATTTGGCCAATATGTCTCTTTAGCAATATTGGTTTAATATTGTATCAATATTAAATCAATATTCATAGTATATTGATAAATATTGGCCAACGCATTTCCTATATAAATCTAATATTATATAATTATTATCGTGCAATATTTGCATTGATTTCATGGCCAATATTGGGTGTGCATTGGGAAATACTGGCCAATGCATTTCCAGCACAACCAATATTGGACCAATGTTTAGCCAATACGCTGTGCTACTAGGGTCATGTTTGTCTCTTTCCAGAGTAACAGTTGGACAGAGACAAAGAACAAATTAAGCTAAGATTAAAGTTAAGCGACGTTGGTGAAACCGGGCCTTACAAGCATTTAATAATCTTACATCCCAACAATATTACACAGTTGAAAAGTTTGTGTTAAATTTAACAGATATCACAGGTCCACGGTCCACACTTTTTGTGTTAATTTAACATAATATGGATATGTTAAATGATCACGCTAATACCTTGTTAATATTTTAATATAAAATAAATGCAAATCTCAAGATAATTTGAAATAAATTTTGTGTAAAATTAACATATTTTAATGACAAAATAAATTTTAAAAAATGTAATTGTTACATTTTACAGATGTAACAAGTCAAATGACAGTTCGAAATCACTTTCACTTATGTTACATAGAATAAAATCAAATTTTATTCTGTAAATTTTAACAGATAAACTTTGTTACTAATAATATCGAACATATGTATTGTGTCAGTTTAAAAATAAGTTGTGTTGTTTTAACATTTCTCTTCAGGTATTTTAATAATTTTACATTTGATGTCAATTAACACAAGAGCAGTATGTTAAATTAACATACGTATGTGTTGAACATTGAACACAAAAATTTTTACCGGCCACATTTT